AGTGACAAAATTAAATAAGATAAGTTAAATAAATGATATTGATATAATATACAATTGCGATACCGATTTCTTTCACAATGGGTTTGAGAGAATTACATCATTATTTGTTCGAAGAATTATCAAGTGAGTAATAAAAATTCTATCTTTTTAAGTTCTACTTTCTAATATAGACTAATATACAGAAAAATATGACACGAATTCTAGAAAAAACATTTTTACATCATACTAGATATTAGTAATAATTAGATTTTATATTAATAGCAATTTGGTATCATTATAAAATTCCCAAACAAAATAAATGTCATATATTTATAATATCTAATAAACGTGCACGTATGCGCGCATATTTTAGAGTATAAGTTAATTTAAAAAATGTCGAAAATGTACTCTCTTGAATCAGTGACTTTATTGTTGCAGTTATAAAGTTATAATTGACGTAATCTGAAAATACTTACTATTTTTCAGTAATAATACACTTTTTGGTTTATGATTTCTACAGATTAAATCAGTGTAACACTGAAGACATTAATAATACACTGATTTGCTTTTAGAGGGTAGAAAGAAAATCTTTGGAAAAATTTCGAAAATTTTTGCTGTCCCATTTTCTATTCAAATAAAGCAGAATATTTTCTGTAAAATACTTGTAAAATATAAATATTTAATGATGATACTTCTTTGCTTTTGATAGAAATTTTTTGTTTGCAAAAAATTGTTGTTTGCATACAACTCTTATGTTAAAATAATTATTATAACATCGTATATCTGAAAGTATTAGTACTCTAAAGTTTTATTGAAGAAAGGTCATTCAGATTATCTTTAGAAAATGGTTACATTGTTTCAAAAATTATATTTTTGCAGTTGAACGAACTCGCAAATGGCCACTCATGTCTTCTCCATATCCACTGATGCTAATTACTTTTGGATATGTGTATTTTGTTCTTTATGCTGGTCCACGTTTCATGAAACATCGACCGCCATATAAGTTGAGAACTTTTATACTAATTTATGACATGATTCAAATTCTGGCAAATTTATGGTTTGTCAAACAGCATATATCTTATGGCTGGTTTTCAGAATACTCTTTTATATGTTTTCCGTCTAATGCAGATTCTCCTAATGCGATGAAAGTACGTTTTTATAATATATTAATTATAAAGATTGTTCATAAGTTAATACTCATATAAAAGATATTATTAAGTGTAAATTTAATACTTGAGTTGCAATTATATCGTTTTTAAAGAGAAGCAGAAAATGCACATTTTAAAAAGTTACGTTGATAATCGTTAGGCAGATTTCAATCAAAGCACAAAAAACAATTAATACAAATAAAAGTTTGTATTTATACTTGAATTTTATTAAATTTCGAAGAAAAATTAATATTACTTAATCAATAATTTTTAATAATAGTTCTTTTATTATTGATTATCGATACTTACACGGACAATTTTTTATATTTTAAT